TTAAACAGAAAATCGATTTAATTTTTAAGCTTAATTAAAGGCAAATCTGACTCCCTACAGTTTTAACAGGAAGAGCAGAGGAGTGGGATTTAGAAATAAGTTTTCAGAGGAACCTAAGACGGTGAAGATGGAGAGCAGGCTTATGTTGAAGACGATAATAGTAAGCGGACGTACGAACAGCTATGGTAAGGAATGTTGGGGCGCGCTCGCGAGGTTAGGGAAAGACTTATTATTGAAGTGACGGTGCATTGCAAAAGAATACAATGAAAAACATTCAGTGCTTTTCGATTTTGCTTGATCGTTCGCCTATGGAGAAGCGATACCACCAGCACCCATCACAACTACTAACCTTAGCCTACACCACGGCGGAGCGATTCCTTTGTCCTTTTTTCCTCTAATTTGGCTACATTGCTGTGGAGCGGGGATACGAGGCATAAAGAGGTGTGGCACTATCGTGGCCTTAAGACCCACGAGAGTTACACATTTAGGGCCAGAAGGCAGTAGCTGCCGAAAAGTTTGATGATTGCTGCATAAGAAAAGGGAAGAGTAAGAATCATACTGAGGTGTCGGAGTGGAGACCAACAAACTAAAGGACGATAATAAAATTTTATTGTTGAGCGAGAGACGAAAATCGAAAGTCGATAGCGAGTATACATGCTAATTCAGCTGGGTTCGAAACACACTGCTTACGCAAAAATACCGCAGAATTAATGCCAAGCACGTGCTTATGATGTTTGTGGTTCTCTGCTCGAAGCTGAATCACAAGCGATTTAATTTTGGCCTTTTCGCACCCTTCATCAAATTATACAGAAGATTACGTCCTGTTTTGGTTGCGTTCCGCGATTTCACTGCGAACCGAAATTTCGATCGAAACAGCTACTCTGTCAAAGTATTTCAATTGGCAACCATTTTATCTAAGTTTGATTGAATGAGTAGATTCAAATGAGGACTGAAGCCGTTTGACCAGCTTGAGCCTAGCACTAAGGCCGCACTGAACAATCGAACTAAGCTAAAGCATTTTGTAGGGTATGCAAACTATTTATACCCTTGCAGAGGATATTATAATTTTGTCGTGAAATGTGTAACGCATATAAGCCAAGTCGATAGAGCCATGTGTCTCAGTTTTTAAGCTATCTTAATGAAATTTTGCAGAAGTCCCTCTTTCTGTTGCACGCAGCACATATGTGAAAAGCAGCGGGATCGGACCGCTATATCATATAGCTGCCATAGGAACGATCGATCGAAAATTACATTTTTGTATGAAAAAACATTTTGTTTTTCAAGATATCTTGACCAAACTCGGCATTTATTACTTCTACTTTATTCCTCATATATATGCAAAATCCTATTAAGATCGGACCACTATATCATATAGCTGCCATAGGAACAATCGATCGAAAATTATGTTTTTGTATAAAAAAACATTTTGTTTATCAAGATATCTGGACCAAACTCGGCATTTATTATTTTCCCTGTGCTTCTTAGATACTGTCAAAGCACTATAAGCATTATGAAAAGGTTGGGTCTGCAAGGGTATTAGATCTTCGGCGTGCCGAAGATAGCATTTCTTTCTCGTTTTAATCGAAATTAAAATCCCTGTTCCATAGGCATATATTCCATAGCCGTTGATCGATGATGATCGTGGACACTATTAGAGTCAGTTACAGTGGTGATCACTAGTACATGTATACCGCTCATCAGAACAATAGCTGTTAGTAATTCAACGAAAGAAAGTGTCAAGCTGTGTTACAAAGCAATTGAAGTATCTTCTACACGAGTTCCATAAGAAACGCAATAAAACATTGAGCGCCCGAAAGAATAATGAAAAAGGGCGGCTATCGCTGAGCCGGGCAAAAACGCTGTCAGGTTGCAGACCTTTAACAACTTTCTTTAAATAATAAATAATTAAACGGCACTATAATTGTGGATAAATTTTTATGGGCTTGTCTAAAAACAAAGGAAAATGAATATACCAATTAAACGAAGTGAGAATTGTGTGTGTAGCGGAAACTAAAGTGAAAGTTTTTGTTTGCGTAAAGGCAAGAAATACAGAAAGTCAGTGAGCAACAATTAACAACGTGGATTGCAAGCACAGCACCACTGTAAGCGATTTCAGTAAGCACGTCCAATAATAGTGGAGTGTAGGACTAGATTCTGTTTTCTTTAGTTATACCTTCAAGTAAAACAGCCTTACTTGATCATCACTTTCGTACCTTGAATTTGTCAGTATTCCAGTATTCCATCTTAATTAGAATTTTCCTTACCTCTACGAAAGCGATCATAACTCATAACTCTCTGTTGTTTATGTTGCAAAAATCCAAGAATAAAAAGAAATCAAATATGAAAAAGATTTAAGAAAGCCTGGTGTAAAAAATCAATAGTTCTCATTTTCGGGCAACAGACATAAATATATATATATTTGCACATCCATCCTTCCAGGATTCTACAACTTGTATTACTTTGCAGTTGGTACTCGTGACCATGGAGGTTACTAATTACATTAGTAAAACAAGTAAGAGGTTCTAGTCGGGGGCTCCCGACTAGGGGATACCGTGAACCCTCTTCTTCCAACATCAAATATATATATTTTATTCTATTTTAGTAGCTATATGTGAAGTTTGGTGACTTTAGCTCTTGTTATTTACCAAAATTGCTCAAAAAACAGGATATCGATATAGATTTTTATCGATTGCTTCGAAACGGAGCAAGTTATCGATTATCGGAAACAAACTCGATCTGCGCGGGAACTAGGAGCATCTACATCTCTAGCTTTTATAAGTTCTGAGATTCTTGGACGGACGGACGGACGGACAGACAGATGGAAATGGCTAAATCGACTAGGCTATTGATGCTGATCAAGACTATATATACTTTATGGGGTCGGAGATGCTTCTTTCTGCCTGTTACATACATTTGGATTTTGCGCAAATACAATATACCCTTATACCCATTTTTAATGGGTTCAGGGTATAATTATCGCTAATCATCTTTTCGTTTAATTTCCGCTGCCAGAGACTGCTGTGGACTTGAATTTGCGCAGCTGGAGCTGACGAGCATGACGAGAGGTGATGATGTGCAATTGCGACCCAGAGTCGAGCAACGCATGGCAGGGCACCAAGGAGCCAGCGCGATCTTATACAATTAGGACGACATCGTGCTTAAGATGCTGGTGGATGGAGAGTTTCGACGATGAGGTTGCCGCCAGGATGTTTTGAGATGACGTATAAGTTTCCCCTTCTTGAACATTGTGCGAGCTAGAAGACTCGATGTGACTGCTTGTGTTGCCAATTTGCAACAGGCTATGATGTTTGCTTCCACAAACTCTGCAAGTGCTGAAAACGCAGACTCTCAGCTGATGTCCCCTTTACAGGCAAATGAGGCACAGCGCAAGCCGTTTGGCTTCATGAAGGCGCAGCGAGGGCGATAATATTGCGAATCGCAAACATTTATTAATTGAGTAGCCTGCGGCTTCACAAAATACACATGCATATGTTCCATTCTTGGTCACCAAAAACGTTCTTCTACTACTGTTGTTCTGGCCTACCTGGGAACCAGGCGTGTACATTGCCGTCGCGTGATCCGCATTTTCTAACCTTTGACAACGATTTTCAATGAAAGCTGTAAGCCGCTCACAAGATGGTATGACGTCCAACGGCGCATCATCCTCCCAGCCAGCTTGCGTGGCGCTATCTAGTTTTTGCAGCAGTGTGTGTACTATGATGCAGCCGGCGACCTGTTCCACACTGCACATCAATTTTAACACACGTAAATAAGAGTTGACCTTATCTGAGAATTCGCGCAGTTGTGTCGTCGCACCCTAATGCACCTTTCTTAAGCCCAAAATTTCAGCAATATGTGCCTGAAAAACAAGACGCTTGTTATTAAAACGCTTATCAAGCAGTTCTTGAGCGGCAGCATAATTAGCGTTTGACATTTCCAACGAGCGAATTGTATCCAGCGCTGTTCCTTTGAGGCATGACCGTAGATGCTGAAGTTTTTCAATGTTGGTCAAATACGGATCCTTATCAATGACCGTGGTGAACATATTCGAGAAGTCAGACTATTCTGTTTAGCCTCCACTAAACTCCGGCAATTTAAGGTTGAGGCAATCGAGAGTGGTTGGAACAACAAAAGTAGAGCGCGGATCATCGGCTGCGGCGGAATTGAAAGTGGAGCAATGTGGAGTCTACTGAATCTTGCTTCGATTTCCGCGCTCGCTTTGAAGGGACACTCGCAGCCGCCTAATGGTTGACTCAAAGCTTGACTGAAGATCCTCTTCAACGCTGGCCTGACTCACATCCAACAAACTATCGTAGATTGCTAAAAATTTCGCCTGCAAGTCAGATGCCATGCATATGTAATCTTGCAGCTCGTAGTCATCAACATCGCGAAGTCGCGTGGGATCAAGTTCAGAGGACAATCTATTAACTGGATCACTTAAATTTTTAATCTTTACTTTAAGAACTGCAGCCTGTGTTCTAATCTGATTAGCAGATGTCGCCTCATTTTCATTTGCACTTGCACCTTCATCAAACATTGTTAATGTAGCGCACCACAAAGTTCACACAGTCGAACTAAAATACAAATTTTGCGCGCACAAGTGTTTGTTCAAGCCAGATAGCGTATAGCTAGTTAATGCGCACAACGATTAGCGGCGATTTTGCTTTTCTACAACGACAAACTGTATGCATATGCACAAGCATGCGGTTAAGTACAGTTATTAGAGAGACTTGGTTAAATTGATCACTCTATGTTGAGGCTCGCAGTACTTAACGCACAACCTTTTGTAAATATGCGCAATGAAATTATAAAATAAAATTTTAAAAAAATTTGCGAACAGTAATATAGAAAAATGTGTAGTTACAAGCTTTTTTGCAACTAATTAATTAGCACTGCTTTGTGTGCAACGAAATTCGAGGTTTTATTTTTATTTTCGAATGTATTTATTAACCGCACAGGGCACTTGTTAAAATTTAAATGTTATAATATTGCTCGGCAGTCAACTCGAAATAGTTGTGACTTGCTTGCGATTAAACGAAAAACTGAAAACTATATGCAAAACGAACGAAATTGAGCTCCGCTCAGAACGATGGGCAGCGGGCGTCAATGCAGGAGGCAAAGGGCCGATGAAGAGAGTAGGCTGCAACTTACAAAGAGCAAACATCATTTGCTCTTAAGCTCTAATTATGATTATTGTCTTCTGCTGTTACTGCACGCAGCCATCGCTGTTATCTCTGCCGGTCACTTGACCAAACACATCTTTTCGTTTAATATCCGATAGTTGCGGCATAGTTGCCTTTGCCATTCTTTTGGCCACTAACACAACTGGTGAGGCATATTCTGACATACGTGGCTTGGTAGTTTTCTGCGCTAGCAATTCTTTCAGTTGCTCATCAAAAATTTTCTGACCACGCCGGCTATACATCTCGGATATACTCAATTGAGTATTCTAGGATTTCTAATTGATGTATAAGCATGTACCAGTTGCCCAATATATTTTTGCTGCAACTTATTCAAATATGAGAAGTCTAAACCGATAGTATGATCCAAAGTTAACAAGCACATACTCTTAAGCTCCTTGAATAGTTCGAAACCAGAGGATTTCATTTTTTACACGGGTCGAAATTTAATTTTGTATCTAAATGTTTAGTTTTTATAAGAGAAATATTAATTCAGATTGAAATATTACACAATTTATAATGAATGTCACATATTGTAAACTGTTAAAATCAGATATATTAGTATTATATTATTATTATTATTATATATATATACTATATGCTATGAGCATAATCAAATGTTAGCCCTACGATCAAATATAATATTATCGGCACTCGTACATATAAAGAAATATAAATAAGCAACCAGCAACCTTTCCCTTTCTGTATTTATGTTAAGCCATAGCATAGTTCTGTTAAGCTAACTTGTAATTTACAATAAATTTTATTTAGTATAAAATATAGCAGCTTTCAAACAGCCTTCATTATTAAGAACTTGACTACAGCTTATTATTAAGAACTTAGGTGGCTTGCAGACTATCGAGATAAATTTCCTTGCCTCACCTTTACTGCATTCAATAAACCAAATTCGATTTTAAGAACGAGGGTCGACTCTTGTATACCATATAATCTAAGATGTGCACTTATGTTTGATATTAATTCTTAAGACGTTCTCCCCTAATTCGTTAGGATTGGTTTCCTTATTCTTGCACGGTGTTAGATGGAATTCGATTCCGCAAATATTAAAACCTAAAGATCGGTCCATTCCCCATTTTAAGTTCACGTATTGAATTGGATCATTAGAATAGCTCGATTTGATAGCTATTTTCTTTTCCGAAACAACTCCTTTCTACTGTCGGACTTAATAAGAAGGAAACAAAGCTAAAAAACAACCTATCTCTCCAATGATATGCCGAAGGTTAAGTTTGTTGTTTTAAACTTACTCTGCTGCGTCATCCGTTTTGCCAGTGTCTCGATCGCCGAGCCCTTCACATTTTATTAAGACTTCTTGAAGTTTCTCTTGGACCAACTGTTCTCGAAGTGCCGCAGCGTCAGACTCTTTCCAGGCGTCGCCAAGGGTATCCTTTAGTTTTTGTAAAGCCTCTTCAGATGTTGCGGTCAAATCAAGTGCCAGACGCAATTTGTTTTCAGTAGAAATTATTTGAGGACGCAGCACTTCATTGTCATTTACTTCCTCCACATAACGACGGTGTAAATTAAATATTATATCAGCATACCGCTTAATACGGGATGCCTCGAAAAACCGTTCTGCCTCCATTAAAAACTGAACAATCTTAAAAGCACAATATGATAGTAAAAATATCTAATTAAAATACAGATATAGACATCAAAATATAAATGCTTACCCGGCTGGCCTCGTTAAAGAAGTTATCATTTATGTCCGTATATAAGTTAAGTTCTAGGACATCAGTTTCATCTGTCCCTTCCTCGAATATTAATTCTGATTTCTTTTCCCATTGCTTTACTTTTTTCAATTTCTTTCCCTTTTTCGGCGGCATTTCAATAATTTTATGGGTTTCAAAAATATACTTGCTCGTCAAAATAAATAATAAATATGTCGGTTGTATATATATGTCGTATATTTCAGCTACTCATCTTATTTCTTGACATTAATAGCAGAGGATTCCTAGATTCTAAGTCCTAGAAAAGGCATTGAATAGCAATTAGTTTTGATATGGTTCTTTTTATACAAATATGTATACTAGCGGTTAGACCCCGGCCTAACCCTTGACTCGTTTATCTTTAAAAATTAGTTTGAAACGGATAGGAAACAACAAACTTTCTTATAACCAAGGTGGAATGCTTTTTTACGAAAAGTGTTTAACCTGAAAGACATATTTATTTACTTATTTATTAATGGTGGACATAACGAGTGTCTAATCTCTTATTATTCAATAGATTATAGTTAAACCACACAATTTTCTAAATAGCATCACCGACCGATGGATGTGTTTTGTGCTGTGCCCCATCTACAGCTCATTTTGTCAGTGACGCTATTAGAACCTACATCTAAGCAGAAGGTTTTAAGTCGGAAACAAGTGTTCTTAAGTAAAATTAAAAATAATCTTAATTTGCGATATTAATAAAGAAAATACAATATATAGGAAAAAAGAAAGTAAGAAGATTGTTAATAAAGTAAAGTAATGTAAGTTAGATAAAGAGTGTTAAGTAGATAGGACAAAGAGAAAGTAATGGGAAATCACCGACCCATTTTTTTCAGCTGTCCGACAAGCTATGCCTGCTCATAGCTGAGAATGGTCAGCGACTTCTCGAAGGTATCCTGAAAGCAACGATTTTATAAGGGGTAAAGAGAGTTCGGCAGAGAAAACGTGATGCAAACTATTATAATTTTAACATAGCACGCGAAAAGGATTGTGCACAGCGTAGTCTGTTGTGCAGGTAGATAGGAATAAGAAGCGATAATTTCTGGTTGGTCTAGCTGGAACAGAGAATTGAAGACGCCCTAGCAGAGAATGAGAATATATGTCGCCAATAATTAACTTATGTAGAAGGACAACATCGAGACTTGTCCTACGCAGCCTGCTGTAGTAGGCAAAAAGCAAAAACAGATTTAATACGATCCTGGCTATTGTTATACTGCGGAGACCAGATGGAAGAGCAATATTCAAGGATAGGGCGAACAAGACTGGGTAGTGCATGTCGTCGTATGCAAGCCGACTCGTCACTTCGTTAATGAAGAAAATGAAAAATATGGAGCTGGAGGAATTGTTGGTGTCAGTTGTGCTTGCGCATACTGCGCAACTGGACAGCAGACTAAAAAAGTTTGTGTGCACCACAAAAATCAAATCGCGAAGCGAATTACAGTAACAGTTGCAGGTATATGAAATTGGGCACCGTCAAGAGACTTCGAAAGCAGAAACTACTGTGGGATCTGATAGGAAGAAGCAGAAGTTTTCAAACATCGATTGCCATTATTGGGAAGCGGGCATGCTGGAGGCATTGGTATGAGGCCAAAAGAGCAAAAATCCAACGTAATGTGTCAGGCTGGACACGTTTCTACTGGGTGCCTTCGACTGGACAAATGTAACCATTAATGTCTTTATTTTGGAAATGTTATTCCATGTCGTTATGGACAAATATTTGAAACACGATGTCATGATAAGTCAAGGTTTCGGACTGACGATCGTGTCAGACAGATTCTGCATTTATAAAGTAAAGCTGATTAATGTTGTTACTGAACCCTAAACATATGAAAAATGTATTAACCAAAATGTAGAGTTAAACGAAGCTGACAACAGCCGTTTAATAAACGTTTTGAAACCATACATGGAACATTTTATCTCTGGCGTTCCAGAGAAACAGGTTAACACAGGCCAGTTGGAAATTCGGTTAATAGATCCAAATAAAACAGTACAAAGACGACCATATAGGTTTTGTGTAGATGAGAAGCAAACTGTTCGCGAAAAAATTAATGAGTTGTTGGCAGCAAATATTATAAGACCGAGCAGTTCCCCATTTGCGAGTCCGATTTTATTAGTAAGAAAGATAAAGGAAACTGATCACTTATTCGTCGACTATAGGGAGCTTAACGCTAACACAGTTTTGGATAAATTTCCATTGCCTCTTATCTCCGACCAAATTGCAAGGCTACGTGGGGGAAGTTATTTTTCTTGTTTGGACATGGCCAGCGGATTTTACCAAATACCTATTCACCCAGATTCAGTAGAGCGTACAGCATTTTTAACGCCAGAAGGGCAATTTGAGTTTTTGGCAATGCCGATTGTTTTAAAAAATGCTCCGTCGGTGTTTCAGCGGGCAATAATAAAAGCGTTGGGGCCACTTTCATATTTGTATGTTGTGGTTTACATAGATGATGTATTGGGCGTGGCCGAAACTAAAGATGAGGCAATTTCAAGATTGCAGAAATTCATAGAAATTCTTATTCAAACTGGATTCTCATTTAATTTCGAAAAACGTACATTTTTAAAATCAAAAATAGAGTATTTGGGTTACGAAGTAGAGGCACGTGAGCTTAGACCTAATCCTCGAAAATTGCAGGCATTAGTTGAATTGACACCGCCGCAAACGGTTACGCAGCTAAGACAGTTCATTGGATTAGCATCATACTTTAGACAATTCGTGCCGAAATTGTCCGAAACTTTAAAGCCTCTATTTTGTCTTACGTCTAAAGGCAATAATAGTTTTGATTGGAAAGAAAGCCATGAAGTAGTGAGAAAGGAGATAATCTTTGCACTGTCCCGTAGCCCGGTATTAACCATTTTCGATCCACAATATCCGGTTGAGCTGCATACAGATGCTAGCTCAGTGGGTTATGGTGCAATACTTATGCACAAAATAAAAGATAGAAACTATGTTATCGAGTATTACAGTAAATGTACAACCCCAGCAGAGTCTTGACTCTGTTATACCTTGGTATAACTCATATCTTTTGGAAACCTTGGCAGAATTTAACACAGTAAAATATTATCAACATTACGTAAAAGGTATCAAATTTACAGTATATACTGACTGTAACTCTTTAAACGCAAGTCAACAAAAGATTGATTTAGATGGTTGTACTTGCAATCTTTCGAACTAGATATTGTGTACAGAAAGGGAAAACGCATGGCGCATGTAGACTTCTTCTCAAGAAACCCAATAACAAAAAAGCAACAGTTTGATGTCAAAGCTCCTGAAATGCGCGTAGATTTAACTGAATTAAGTGACACCTAGCTTATAGCTGAACAGCAACGAGATCTCGAAATGACATCTTTAATCTCTAAACTAAAAAACAATGAATTAAACGAGAACGTTGCCAGTAAGTTGAGACTAGGCTTGCTGTATCGTAAAATTCAAAGAAATGGTAGAACCCGTTGGTTACCTGTAGTTCCAAGATCAAGGCTGTCATTAACCACATTCATATAGCCTCATGAATGTGCACCTTGGTTGGGAAAAGACCCTCGATAAAGTGTACAGTTGTTACTGGTTTGAAAGTATGACGAAAGTTTGTTGATAATTGCATCACGTGCAAGCTATCGAAACCGCAATTTGGGAAAATTCAACAAGAGATGCATCCGATTCCTAAAATCGAAATACCCTGGAATACGGTACATGTAGACATCACCGGTAAACTAAGTGGCAAGAACGACCAAAAGAGTATGTTATATATTATTTGCACCATACACTGAAGATATATGCAGCTAAGGAATTTCGAGTTGCACTTAATTGCCACAGGAGCTAGTCGAGCAAATGGACAGGTCGAACGCGTAATGAGTACACTTAAAAGTTTACTAACAGCGATAGAGACAGGCCAACGTTTGTGGCAAAAGGCATTTAATAAGGTACAGTTAGCAATAAATTGCACAGTCAATCGGGTCACTAAGTTTAGTCGTTACAGCTTTTAATTGGAAAAGATGTAAGACCATTAGGGATGCTATCGAACATTGTTGATGAAAAATATGATAATCTACAAAATCTAAGAGGACAAGCAAAAGAGAATATAGAAAGTAATGCCTGTCATGATAAGACTAGAAGCGATAAAGGCAAACCATAAAGTTGTAAAGCATAAAGTGGGTGATCATGTTCTGCTGAAGTGTGAAGAGAGAAATTAGACCAAACTAGATACCAAATTTAAAGGCTCATTTGTCATAACAGAAGTACTTGAAGGAGACCGATATTGTTTGATGTCATTAACAAGCAAGCAAACCCACAAGTATCCTCATGAGTGTTTAAGAGACAGTTTCTGCGAAGATGGATGAGGATATGATGAGTAGTAGCCTTGAAAGAGTTGCAATTGGTACCAGTGAAGGTACACGTGTTGGAGTTGAAGCAGACGCAATTGGTACCAGTAAAGGTACAGGTATTGGAGCTGAAACAGATGCAAGAGACAGTGCCAGTGAAGTACTAGCGTTGAAACAGGCGCATAAATGTGTAACGTCATGATCAAAAGGCCTCTTCGAGAAACATAGGTAGACTTGGTGCGCTATCTGGACATTAATCTGTTTGATTTTGCTATCAAATAAGTTGTAAAGATTATTTTAACATTGATTTAAAGAAAGGCGAAAGAACACTTGAGCGGAGCATATCAACATGAATTGCTAAATTTATACACGAGGGCGTGTAATTGTCAGAAATGGCCGTGTCGGAGAATTGCTATTGTTATTCTTGTTGTTCTTTGAATTTAAGTACAGCAACATGAATATTGTGTGAGTCAAAATTAAAAGAAAGAAAAATACAGAAAACAGAGTAACTGTCATTGTCGACTTGTATGTCTTATATCCCTGAGAGTCGGTGAGAGGACTAACTGTTAAAAGGAAAAGCGGTTACGGATGGTTTTCGTTGCGTTGCAAGAAGCAAAAGCGGTTCCGGCTGGTTTTCGATGCGTTGCAAGAGGCAAAAGCGGTTACCGCTGGTTTTCGTTATTATTCGTTGCGTTGCGAGGCAAAGGATTGATGTGGACAAACAGAAATAAATGGCGAGCGGACGTGATTGCGCACTGCGAAATTTAGAAAATAGAAACAAATGCCACCAACAAAGATGCCGGGACTCGCTGCTCAAAGTGTGAAGAATTCTGACCCTACGGCCGCTTCGACAAGTATATAAT